CTCTTCAGGTTACCAGATACAGGCATGCAAGACTCATCGAACAGTATAATTTTCCTTTGAATAGTTTCTTACCCTTTTATTATATCAATTATAACTTTTGGATCTTATTTACTCTTTCTGTCTCTTAACACTAGTAAGACGTATGGTGCTTACATATGCAAGTTTGATTTATTTCACTTATGAGTATGATTTCCAGTTGCATCCACTTATCTATAAAAGCCTCAAGTTTATTGTTATTTATAGCTGAGTAGTACTCCATTGTATAAAAATACCACATCTTTTTTATTCATTCCTCAAATGATGGGTATTTGGGTTGTTTCCAAGATCTGGCTATTACAAATTGTGCAGCTATAAACATGGGTGCACATATATCATTGTGGTGTGATGTTTTCAATTCTTCTGTGAAAATACTCAGAAAGGGAATACACTCAGAAAGGGTGGAATGGAGCCTTTAATCCTAGTTTTCTGAGGAGTCGCCACACTGATTTCCACAGAGGTTCCATCAGTTGACATTCCCCACATCCCCGCCAGCATGTATTATTCGTTGATTTCTTGATGACAGTCATTCTTTCTGGAGTGATATGGAATCTCAGTGTTGTTGCATTTCTCAAACGACCAATGATGTTGAACATGTATTCATGTATTTATTTGCTATGTGTATTTCTTCATCTGTGAATTGTGTATTCATCTCAGATGCCCGTTTTTGGATTGAGTCTTTGAATTTGGGGAGCGTGATTTTTTCACTTTTTTACATATTCTAGATAGAAGTCCCTTGTCTGAGGAGTTGTTTGTAAAAGTCTTTTCCCTGTTCGTGGGTTTTTTTTTTTCACTTCGATGGTGATTTCTTTCAATGCCAACAAGACAAGGATGTCCACTATCATCACTCCCATTCAATGTAGCTCTGGAAACCTTAGCCAGAGCAATTAGACAAGAGAGAGAAATAAAAGGAATTAAGGAAAGGAAAAGAAGTGAAACTATCATTGGCAGATGACATGACACTCTACATAGAAGGCCCCACAAACTCCACCAACAGAATTCCAGACTTAATTAGAAAATGCAGCAGTGTAGTTGGGTACAAAGTCAACACTTGAAAGTTGATATCATTCCTGTACACAAACAACAAACTCACTGAGAGAGAAATTAGGAAACTGTACTCTTCCCAATAACATAAAAAATAAAATACTTAGGAATTAACCTAACACAGGAAATAAAAGATTTATACATTGAAAATTACAGTGCTTAAAGAAAGAAATTGAAGAGGAATTCAGAAAATAGAAAGCTATCCCTTGCTCATGGGTAGGGAGAACCAACACTGTGAAAATGACCATTCTCCCAAAACTGTTATACAGATCTAATCCAATCCTGATCAAAATGCCATTAGTATTCCTTACAGATCTAAAGAAGATACTATTAAAGTTTCTCTGGAACCAGAAGAGACCTAGAATAGCAAAAGCAATCCTGGCCAAGGCAGGAGGCATCTCAATCCCTGACTCGAAATTATACTACAAAGCCACTGTGATAAAATCAGCATGGTACTGGAAAAATAAACAGACCTGAGGATCAGTGGAACAGAGTAGAAGATGCAGACACAACTATGAACAAACTCAGCCATCTTATCTTTGACAAAGAGGCCAAAAGTGTTCACTGGAAGAAAAACAGTCTTTTTAATAAGTGGCATTGAAAAAACTGGTTTTCTACATGTTATAAACTTAAACTATACCCATGTCTCTCACTGCACACTAAACTAAAGTTAAAATGGATTCAAGATCTAAATATTAAGACAGAAACCCTAAATCTACTACAAGACAAAGCGAGTAGAAATCTCGAGGGGATAGGCAAAGAGCTCATGAATAAAACTCAAACCGCATGGGAAGGACTTCAAACAATCAGCAACTGGGATCTCATCTTATTAAAAAGTTTCTGCACATCGAAACACATGAGGTTTTGAGGGACTCTGAGGCTTAAATCATAACATTAGCTGTGGTAGTCATGATCCCCGCAGCAGATGGCGGTGTCTGTCACCTTTCTTCGCCTCTGTGGGCCACACTGTGTTCTTACAGTTAACCCTGTGGAGTTTGCGAATGGTACTGGTGATGCTCAGCTTGGTGGACGCTGGTGGAAGGTTGGTGTCTCACAGAGCTGTCCGAGAGCACCCGCAAGGTCGGGAGCTCACATGCAACAGGAGCTGGATAAATAGCCCAGGCATCAGGTGTCACGGAGGACTGGTCCCTGGGCCTCTGAAATTGCTCTGAACCCCTAGATCCTGTCCAACTCACAGACTTCAAATTGTGTCTAGATAGCTCTTACCACATCGTGCAAAGCAAACGTCTTGGGAATAGTCATGCTGTGTTCCTCAGGGCATAGCACAAGAGGGAGGTGTGTGCACCTTCAGTACAGGAGCGATTATTTTTAAATCAAATATTTTGCATCGGCGGTTGGTTGGACATGAGCACACAGGGCTGCGCATAAGGTAGGGTGGACCATAGCCTGAATCAAGGCCTGGCTTTATTCAGCAAATATTTATGGCTATGGCTGATGGTCCTTCTTATGCTGGGAGCGCAGGATGGATAGAACAGGATCTTAGCTCCAGAGTTTGCACTCTAGCAGGGTCGACAGTGGCCATGCGTTAAACACACACGCAAGCGTGTGACTTCTGATGGTGTCTGGGCCGACTTGGAGATCAAACAGGCGCAGTTGCTGTTGGGAAAGAAAGGGGAAGGGACAGAGGACCGAGGTGAAAATGCAAGAGAGTGTCCTGGACAGGGGTTCCGGGTGTTCGGGCACCTCGAGAAGCTGTCTGCTGCACTGAGGGCGGAGGCTGTGGCTCCAGGGCAACCAGGTCCCTGTGTGTCCTTAGCAGAATCACTGACTCCAAGGGAAGCAGTCTCTGCTTCTGGATATACAGCGTTCTGCAGTGGGGTGCAAAGACCCCCGGGTGAAGGAACTTCCTCTACAGCTGTCCCTCTGCTGGGCCCAAGGGAGTGGGCACAGAGCCAGGGCCCCCACCTGTTTCTGCTGTTGCTAGGTTCTCCCCGGGCTGTAGTTCACTGAAGCGCGTGAAAACCCAAACACACATCCAGGGCTGTGTCTTATACGCGAATGCCGCATGCACCCCCATGGAAGGGAAATGCAGGGCCCATTGAAGTGTTTTTGTTCTTCAGCTTGCATCCCAGCTGGCTGCAATGGTTTCACTGAGCGGGCTTTAAGTAAGAGCGTGTCTTCTGTGTGGGATTTTATAGATGCTGCTGCAGAAGTTTCTCAGCGATGGTGAAATGCTTTTCCCCAAGTGTCTCTTTCCCATTCTTCCTGAAGCATCTCCTTCCAATGTGGAATCACTGCCAGGTGGGAGAGAGACAGAGAGGGAGAGAGGGAGAAAGGCAGCTGTACTGAGTTCAGAAAGTACCTGGCAGGCGAGAGGCGCTCATGTGCCAGTAGCTGGGAGCTATAAATAGTGTCCTCTGGGACCCGCCACATGAGCGAAGTGTGCGCCAGGCCTGGGAGAGAGACGGCAGTGAGCGTGGATGCTGCATGATCCTCTGGGCAGATGACCCTCGCCTTCCATGCAGAGGGCAATGGGAGGCCTTCTGGGGACCCTGGGAAGTCGGGTGTGGCGGTGGCTTGGAGAGCAGATGCACGCATGTGTCCCCTGCTGTCATCACAAGCACTGTGTCTGCTCCCTGCACTGGCGCTGACCGGCTTGTGCCACTGTGGGCTCTCGGCTGACTCTGGCCACACAGCAGGAGCTGGCCTGAGTCCAGCTGGAAGTCACTCCTTTTTTAGGCGAGCCTTTTACTCCAATAATGGGGAAACTGAGGCCCGCTTACTTACTGGTTTTTCCCACACCATGACCATGTCTCGTGCACAGTTAACCAAGCTCAAGTTCCATCTGTAAGCAAAAGGGTGGGGATGGGGTGGGAAGAGGTGGTCACAGGGACGCCCAGGTCTCCAGTGCCCCCGAGTGTGATAGTAGGGACTGTCAGCAATGGGTCTGTTCACCTCTAGATGCCCTCCAAGAGCCTCACACACTCACAGGAGGGCTTTGGAGATCAGGAGCATTGTAGCTGATTTGCAGTTAGAGGTGGGGCCTGGTTGGAGGTTGTTGTCATAGCTGGGCTGTAACCGGAAGGGTGCATTCTCCTCCAGGCTCTTCCCTTTTCTCTGTTTCCTGGCTTCTGGGCATGGAGCAGCTTTTCCTGGGCCTGGGCCTCTGCCACCCTGTCTCCCCTTGGGCCCTGGGAACATCTTTCCCAGTGGCCAAGGCTCCTAAAGTGTGGATGGGTTAGCCCGGCCCAGGGTGCTGTGTTACGGTGCTGTCCCCACCCCGGGAGCCACAGGCCACACTGGGACGGCCGCATGCCCAAGGGCAGTGCTCCTCTGGCTTCTGTGCTGGGTTTGTGGCCTTTGTCCTTTGGGTGCTGTTTGTCTTTCCTGGCTGAGCTCCCAGTCCTTTGTAAGGTATGGTCTGTCATCCTCTCCTCCGTCCTGGCGGTCAGAGGAGGGACCTGGGTCCACCCTAAACCATCTGTAGGGATGGGGAGGTTCTAGAGACCCCTCATGCCCTGCCAGCCTGCCTTCCTTCTATCCTTCCTTGATTTCTTTTTCTTTCCAAGTACCCGACGCTCAGCGTCTCACTGTGGCCTCTGCTAAGAACTTGTGAGCTCCCCACATCTCCTAGTCTGTCAAGTAGCGACTTAACCCCACCGAGCGCTCACAGGGGGAGCAGAGGGGTGCAGCCAACTCATTGCACTTCAGTGTCCTCATGGATCAAGGCCAGGACAGCAGCGGGGGCTCTGAGCAGCACCCATTGCTGCTAAGAATTTAGAATCCAACAGAACAAAAGAGGAAGCAGAAGCCGCCAGCTGCTTCTGGCCAGGAGGTGGCGGTGTGGGACCAGGAAACTCACCGCCAGTCACAGCGTCGGGGGTTGGGGGGTGGTGGTGGTGGGGGACACTGTGGTCCTGCACAGAGAGTTTATACAAGCAAACCCGGATGAAGCCGTGTCCTGTGCTGATCACTGGGGAAGGCATGTGTCACCCAGAGGAAGCGCTGTCAGGCAATGTGACATCTCCTGTGTCTCTGCAAAACGTCCTCGACTCCCTCTGAGCTGGGCTGCCTGGCTTCCCCAGCACAGCCCGGGGCCCAGGCGTCCGCTGAAGGGAGCTTTCTCTTCCCTGGGTCTCTGGAAGATGCCTCTTCTCCCATTCATCTTGTCATTTTCTTGGAAAAACAAACGCGACAGCTGTGAGCTTGTGGGCCAGGTGGGGAGGGAGCTGGGTGGCTTTCCAGAGAAAGGACGGTAAACATCTGGGGGGACCCCTCCCATGGTGAGCCTGCACCCAGCTGTTGGAGGAAATGGGAGGTGGAGTGGGGAATTAGGGGGTGGGGAGAAGCCAGAGCTGGGGGCTCCTCTGCAGGTCCTGTGGATCCCTCTCCTTTCCTCTTGTCTACTCACTTATCACCCTCTCTCACCTTTCCTGTCTGGATGTGGTGGCAGCCTCCCTCTCTTCCTTCCTTCCTTCCTTCCTTCCTTCCTTCCTTCCTTCCTTCCTTCCTCCCTCCCTCCCTCCCTTCCTTCCTTCCTTCCTTCCTTCCTTCCTTCCTTCCTTCCTCATCTTATCCTCTTAATACAGTGCTGTGACTGACTTTCAGATTCCGTGCCCCAGGCTTTGTTCTTACAGGGAGTAGGCCTGGTCTCCCCAGACTCTGCTGGTCTCTGCCAGTGCTTTCCTGTAATCCCCGGACTCTGGGAGGCTGAGGCAGGAGGACTGCAGGTTGGAGCACAGCCTGGGCAATTTTCTGCCGTAGGGAGACCCTGCTTCTAAATAAAATAGTAACAACGGCTGAGGATGTAGCTCAGGGCGAGTCCCTGGGAAGGGCTTTAGTCTCAAGTGACTGAGTCCTAGATTCGGGGAAGCCTTTGCGAAGAGACACTGTGAGAAGGCTCGGCAGAGGCCTGAAGCTCGGAGCCGACCCCTCCCTGGCGTCTTTAACAGCTGTGGCCCTGGCTTCAGGCTTCCCCTCACCGGCACTGAGAGGCACTGGGTGTCTGCAGCCTGTGTCACCCAGTGATGTGCATCCTTGTGGTGCAGCCCCAGCGGATGTGAGCCACCCCAGGGTGACCTGTTGTCCTCTGGAGAGGCAGAACATGAAGTTGAGCTTTAAAGCCCAATGACAGGGCTGTGGCAGAGAATATGGTAGAAAGTTCTGGAAATGCAGGTGTCAGCTTTGCACCTCTCAGGACAGAGATGCTTGATGCACCACTGGTTTTTCTCTGGGGTAACATCACGTGACCTCAATTCATCCTGTTAGCTCACAGTCCTATTGTAAGCTGTCTTTTTTCTTAAGTATTAAATCTTCCTAATTGTTCTATTATAAATATATCAACCATAGGCTACATTTCCATGTGTATAGGCCATTTGTGTTTTGAGATAACTTACATTAGTATGATCACAAACTATTAGACAATTGAATTATTTTATACCTTTTAGGTCACCACCTTGATGAAGAGGAAAGAGATCAACAGAGATAGGTTCAGCAGATGGTGATCACAACTTGGTCTGGTGGTCACCACAGCCAGAGTGTGAGTCTGGAGAGAGCCCTGGACTCTCCATGTCACGAGAGATGCCATGGGTACCAGGCAGGTAGCACACTCATCCCCTGTGGGCATGAGAATGGTCATCGTGGCTGCCCTTTGAATTGTCAGCTGTGGAGGACAGAAGAAGGCAGTATGAGTCATGGCATTTCACTGCCCTGGAGGCTAAGCTCTCCTCCCGCAGGCTGATTGCATCCTCAGCAGGGCAGAAGCTCTTCAGTTTGATGTAGTCCCATTGGTCTGTTTTTGCTTCCGGAGACTTATCCAAAGAATCTTTGCTCAAACTGCAGGAACGAAGCTTTCTTGTGTAATTTTTTTTTTTTTTTAGCAGCTTTAGAATTTTGAGTCCTACATTATAAGTTGTTGATTCATTTTGAGCTGCACTTGTATGGCTATTGAGAAATTTTTATCTTTTTTCTTTTCCCTTCCTTCTCCTATCCTTTTCCCTATCCAAGTTATTTTTCCCCTTTGAGCAGTTTCCTACTTTTTCACAATATTTATTGAAGATTTTGTATCTTATTTAGTCTTTCAGCTTTTTACACTAGGGAGACAATGTGGTATTTACATATGTGAGTCTGATTTAGTTCACTTATAAGCATGGTCTCAAGTTGCATCCATTTACCTTCTTTATAGCTGAGTATTCTCCACTGTATAAAAATACTGTATCTTGAGCTAGGCGTGATGGCTCATGCCTGTAATCCCAGCACTCGGGAGGCTGAGGTGGGAGTAACGGTGCGAGTTCGAGACCAGCCTGGGCTACAAAGTGAGCTCAAGGCCAGCCTGAACTGCATAGCGAGACCCTGTCTCAAAAAAGACAAAAAACAAAACAAAACAAGGCAAAAACAAAAACAAACAAACAAAAAAACCCCCTACATCTTTTTTTTATCTGCTTTGCAGTTGATGGGAAGGCTCTGTCTTTCACTTGTAGTCACTTCAAATTCTTTTCTCAATGTTTTTATTGTAAAAATCTTTCTTTGGTTAAATTTGTTTCTAAGTACTTTGTTTTTGTAGCTGCTGTGTCATTGTTTGCTTGAGTTTCTTTTCAGGTTCACTATTAATGTATAGAAACATCGATTCTTGCATGCTGCTGTCATATCCTGTAACTTTGCTGAATTCATTTATTAGTCTGGATCGTTTTTTGGTGGAGTCATTAGAGTTTTCTATATGTAAGATTATGTTGTCTGTAAAGAGGGATCATTTGACTTTTCTCCAATTTAGATCTTACTTCTTTCTCTTGCCTTATTGCTTGGGCTCAGGATTCTATTACTATGCTGAATAGAAGTGATAACAGATGGCAAGATAATAGTAAAGGAGATTCAGCACCCCACCTTCTGCAAAGGACATACATCAAGAAAGAAAGTCTAAAAAGAGATGTTGGCTGTAAAATGCATACCAGACATTTGTAAACATTTCGTTCAACAGCTTCAGGACACACAGTTTCTCAGCTACCCATGGAACATTCTCAAGGATGGATAAAATGGCAAGGCACAAAACAAGCCTGAACACATTAAAAAGTCAAGATAATGTTAAATATCTTCGCTTTTTGCAATGGAATAAAACTAATATTAATAACAAGAAAAACTTTAGAAAATTTGCAAATACCCAAAAATTAAACAACATACTTTAAGCAAATAATGGATCAGTGAAAAAATTAAAAGCGAATTAAAATAAACTCTTTAGACAATGTGTATTTTTAACCAATCAAGTCACTCGCTCTTCAAACAATCCTGAAACATTTCTTGTATATGGCAGGTACTTGTCAGAGTTTTGCCCTAGAATAAATTACAGGACATTATGGTGGTAGTTCAACATGGTAGAAGGCCAAATCGGGATGCTTGCTCTGACAGCCACTTCCTCTTTCCCTGATTACAGTTTCCTTCTTTCTTTCCCAGTGCATGTGAAGAAAATTCCAATCAGCTCCTCGTGTACCATCAATGCCGGCCCCAAGCACCACATCCGGTCAAAAGTCACCAATACCCCATATCTTCATATCCAGGGAGAGGAGAAAGCCAAACTCTTGCTGGTTGTGTGTTCCTCTCCACACCCTTTAGATAAAAAGGCCATTTTTACTTTTTCTGATATTCTGCTCCTTTATTGTGCTGGAAAACTAACAGTACTTACTGAAAATATTTCCTTTTTGTGTTTTTGAGACAGAGTTTCACTATGAAGCTCAGACTGCTCTTGAGTTCACTGTGTAGCCCTGGGCTGGCCTTGAATCACAGTGATCCTCCTGCCTCAGCCTCCTGAACGCTGGGAGTACAGGTGTGCACCACCCCACCCTGCCTTGCAAAGAATTCTTGACTCCCACTCTCTGACCCTGATGACACTGCTGTGGTGGATTTCATTTTTACCTAATTGTTATTTTTTTGGTGGTCTTGGGGATTGAATTTCAGGCATTGTACATGCTCTGCCAGGAGCCACAGCCTTAACCTGCAACAGTTATCTTTTAGATCAGCTTAGATTGAGAAAAACAAATTACTTTGTTTTCCCCTGTGATACACTTCCTTCCTTTGTGTGGGTTCCTGTTTCATTATCTTCCTGCTTGAATAACTTCTTTAAACATTCCTTTCAGGGAGGATCTACTGGCAGTGAATTCCTTTGGCTTTTGCTTGTTTGAGAAACCCTTTACTCCTTTTTGCTTTTTGAGCAATAATTTCCCCCACCTAGAATTCGATGGCCTGCTTTCTTCCTTGCAATGTTTTTAATATTTTGTTCATTTAGCTCCCATATTGCTGCATAGTTTCTGCAAAGGAGTGTAGTGAGATTCTTATTTTTCCTTCCTCTACAGGTAAGGCATCACCGGAGTTACCCTGATTTCAGGATTTTTCCTTTTGTCTCTGGTTCTTAGCAATTTAAATACAGCACACTTAGATTTCAATTTTTGGGGGATATTTTTTCTACTCATCATTGTCTGTTCTTCCTTGACCTGTGGGTTTGGTTTTGCCATTAATTTTAGAAAATTCTCAGCCATTATTACTCACGATTTTCTTCTGATTCATCTTCTTTTTCCTCCTGATACTCCATTATCCATCTATTACACTTTTGTGGTTGCCTCACATTTCTGGAATGTTCTATTCCCCCATCATTCCAGTTTTCTCTTTGCTCTTCAGCTCAGGATGTTTCTTTTGAGCTGCCCTTAAGCTCCTGGGCTCTTGGTTAAGTCCAGTCTTCTTGTGAGCTTATCAAAGCATTTTCAGTTTATTATAATGCTCTTAATTTCCAAAGCTTCATTTTAATTCCTTCTTAGGTTTTGCATCTTTCCACTTCCATTAGCCACCCACTCTACACTGTCGCTCTTTCCACCTGAGATCTTATCCTGTTAATCACTGCTGTTCACAATTCCCTGCCTGATAATTCCCAAAGCTGTGGCTTCCTTGGGCCCAGTTCTAACACTTCCTTTGTCTCTTCAGATGTGTTTTTTCTTGCCTTTATTACACTTGATAATTTTTCTGTTGTTGAAAACCCAACAAGAGACACTGGGTGACTAGAAAGAAGGTACAAAGGCTGGAATTCTCTGGTATGGTGCCAGGATAGACCCAAGAAGTTCTAACAACTGGGGACCAGACAGAGCAGACCCGTTCTGATGATGGTGATGCTACAAAAATGATGGTGAACCGGAGCGCTGTCAGGTCGGTGACCACCAGCTGCCGTCTCCCTCGCACGTCCTGTTCTAGCTCTGCTCCCCAGCTTTTCAGAGGAGTGTGCTTACCAACAGGGATGATGAAACGATTGTGTGTAGAAAGGACTGTTTGCTGGATATCCTGGCATTTGAAGAAACTTCTGATTATGTTGCAAATCTGAATTTCAATCCCCATACTTGGGTATGGAAAATAAAAGATAACTTTATTTTTGAATACCTGAACAGGATTTCTGTTTTGGGTCCCTTAATTTCTGGGACCTGCTGACTGACAGCTTAGGATCTCCCTGTACCCCACCCTTCTCACCTGTCACCAGGGGGTGCCTCGGGTCTACGGGTGTGTGTTATTCAGCAGTGGTTACTTCCCCTGAACGGCAGTGGGACTTTTTTTTACAATTTAAAAAGCGAAAACAAACAAAAAGGATAAAGATGATACATACAGAATTTCAAGACTAAATAATAGAAAATTAATGGTAGTTAATATATTGCATATGATTATTTTCAAAGTAGTTGTTCAGATTATAAGATTTAAGCATGGAGACAATGGAGGAACAACCAAACAACGAAAATGAAAACCGTCCTTTTTTGATGAACACAGGTTAGTGCTGTAGTTATCTATCTTGTATATATTTACACACACACACACACCCTCTTCCTTTTCTCCTTTCCCCCATCGCAGCTATTCTCTCTTTTTGAGCACTTTCTTTCCCGGTCACCACTCGGGCATTCTTGTTTGTGCCTGCCCCTCAGACCCTGCACACAGAGTCACAGCCATGTCTGTCCGGATCCCCGACCACTCTGCTCCCCCGTCTTGCACTTCTGTATGTGGCTGGATTTCTTCTTTCCTGCTACTGGGGGCAGACACGAAGCTGTCCTTCTCTGCAGCTGTCTCTGGCTATCGGAGTTAGCTGTTGAAGCCGTCTCAGGTTGTTCCAGTGCTGGCTGCTTTTTCTCACACAAGAGTTGCCTTGAAACTCACAAAATCCTTGGCCCCCAGATCAGTAGTGCCAGAGATCAAGCTTCCTGAGCTCTTTCACTTCTCTGGTCTCTCATAATTTGGGTAAGTTGGCTCCTGCATCCTCAAGAGATGCATTTTAAGACACCTAGTGGATTCCAAATTACACAGGTGTTGAAGGCCCTTTGTGACAAGTCATAGACTCTGTGTAAACCTGCACACACCCTCCTCTCTAAGTTACCTCCAAATGACTTCTTTTTTTTGTTTTGTCTTTTTTGTTTTTATCAGTACCAGGGATCGAACTCACGACTTGCCTGCTTACAAGGCAGGCGCTTATGCCGCTGAGCTAAATCCCCAGCCCCTCTCCAAATGACTTCTAATAGCTAATCCAATATAAACATGTGGAAATGGTTGCTATATTATATTGTTGAGGGAATAATGAGAGGAAAAATGGCTGTGTAGGTCTGGTGCAGATACAGTTTTTGATTTGTGATCGGTGGAATCCAAGGATTCAGAGCCCAAAGACACAAGGGCTGACCTTGTAAACTCCAAGAACTGCCTCTTTGGCACTCTGTTATCAAAACTCTCTGTTGAGACAAAAACATACCACCTTCTACCTGGAATGCAGGTAGAAACATGGGGACCAAACTATGCTTCTATTAATAGGACAGAACAGTATGCTCCATATTTGCCAAGTGGGTGGCGGCAGCTGTAATGACTAAGGTGCCCAGCATGCCGTGCAGCTGTGGGAACAAAGGACACAGAAGGGCCAGTGTAGTTGTGCATGGAGAAAGCAATGATGTTTTTGAAATTTTTAAATAATTCGTTGTTTTTGTTGCTGAGATGGAGACAGTGCACGTGAAGGTACACAGCAAAGGAAGGCCACAGAGAGTCCTGTGACATGGTTACACTGCCATTAAAATGATGGAGCAGAATCGAGATGGAAGAAATCGCTCATCTGGGGTGGTGAGGGTAGAGCCGAGCATCGGGCAGGAAAATGGCTAAAATACTAACGGACTTCCTTTCTGTGGACCTAGAGTGGCCAGGTACTCTGTGGTTCTTCCTGTAAGGATAAAAATAGCTTACCCCGAGGCTTCGCAGGTCTCACCGAAGCACCACAGGCATCCAATTGCATTTCACCTCTAGCTATCTTTGTAGCCTGTTTCTCCCTATCAGCTGGTCGCTAAGGGGGTGGGGGGATTGGCTCTTCCTGTTTGGGTCTGGGGTCTGGCTGACCCCCCACTGGCACTGGTCCGGGCATGGTGCTGGTTTGCAGGGAGGGCTTGTTCTTGGTAAGGCCTTGTTCTCTCCCCACGCAGTCCCTGAAGACAATTTTCATTTCTATATATGAAACCAAAGGCTAGCAAAACTGGCATCCAAAGCTAAGTCTCTTTCTCTCTTTTCTGCATTACGTGAGTAAGACTGATGGGGAATTACTGGTCTCTGGGGATGTTAGGTAACGTGAGATTAATGTTTTTAAAGACCCATACACTAGAGTACTTTTGCCACTTATCAAATACTTACATCAACCACAGGAGTACTAAATACTGCAAGCTTCTTTTGAAATGAATAGGATCAAAGAGCCCGTCTCAGTGAGGGAATAGCTCATCATCTATTGTGGGGTGCAGAAACAGCTCTGATTTTTGTGATAACTCGGACCCCAGTATAAAATCCAAGGAAGCAAGAAATTAAAATTTAGGGAGCAAATGCTTTATTTTAGGCCAGGCCTGGCGTCACAGTCTCCAGGAGTCAATTTGGAGACTGAGCACCTGACAGCTAAAAGTCAGGGCTTTTATCTTGTAAATCCACAAACAGCTGCTGGTCACACAGTGTAAGGAGGGGGATGGGGTGTGGCACACTACAAAACAGAAACACAGCGATTACATGTCTTGGGAAGAGCAAGATCAGGTAAGGGTTGTACTAACAAGCAAATCTCCCTGCATACAAGCAAGTTTAGATAAAAAAATCCTGTTTTCCTCAGCAAAGAATAGAGAAGTCTAACAGCAATTAACAACCTTAGTTACCTTATTGTAGCACCACATCTGTTATTTGTAGAGGGCAGCAATGGTTAACATATCAATTAGGTAAGATT